ATCGAAAAAATGGGTACAGAGTATCTCCCGTCTCGGCCCTGGCACGGGTCAGGACTTAGTGACCCACGTCGGTCCGGGTCACCTCGGGGTGACCTGCGGTTGGCCGGGTTACCAAGGGGTGACCCGCGGCTGGTCGGGTCACGCGGCTGGTCGGGTCACCTGGGTGTGACCCACATTTTTTGGTCTTTTTGGCCGCTGTTTTGAGCTTCGGCCTCCAGACTTGGCGCGGTTTTGCTGGTTCATTCACCATGACTTCCTTCTATAATTTATGTTCTTCTTGTAATAGAATTCTTGCATGCATAAGTAGCACGCGACATTTCTGAATCCATTCTTCAAGGGTTGAATGTGTCCTCTTGACGCGGATCCATTCATTCATCATTGGTTTGGAGGAGAAGTTGCTCGCTCGCTATTGTGGTGCTTGGCACCTTCTGGACTTCAGATCCGCCTCATAGCAGACCGCATCAACTGGCTCCAAAGCTTTGGCTAGCTGGCATGCGAGGTGTTGGCGTCACCTTTGAAGCACTCTCTTTGATAGGGTTGGCGCGCCTTCAGCGGTTGACTCATTGATCGAGGAGGAGTCTAGATCTATAGATTCGGTCTCATTGGAAGCCAGAGAAGCGCTGCCATGTGCAACTGTAGTGACGGTGGTGCGGAGATCATCTTCTTGAGTCTTCAACATCAAAGATCAGCGGATCTTCCTGGATTTGCAAGGAGAGGCAGATTTGGAGGAGGAGGACAAGTACTCCTCGAACTTCTACTGGTCGAACTCATATTCAACCTCTTCTTCAACCGAGATGCGAATCTGAGGTTACGACACATCAGACTTTGCATAAAGGCTGTCGGCTCCTACTGTGGTCGCCAGCGTGTTTGGGTGAAAAGTTGATTTCATTGATGAGTTCATTACAACTTTAGACATTTACAACAAACTTAAGAGAATAGCCTTTTTATAAGACTTTTAATCAAAAATTTATAACTTTCTTTCAAACTACACACAATAGTAGTTTATCTCATATTGCTTACGTGGGATCTTAGCCGGTGCCGGGGTTTATCCGTGGACCGCCTACGGATCGGATCCTGTTGACAGAAGTATTGATCAGAGCTCCAACTTCATCAAGGAAGTATTCGCTGAAGTACTGATATCGACCAAGCAAAATTAGTACTCTTCTTGAGATTAAGACCAAGCCTAATCTCAAGGAAAGGGGGAACGAGGCTTCAGATCCTTCAAAAGACTCCTTCTTTATGCCGAAGTTTGTCGGGATCTAGCTAGCCTCCTCAAAATTTTCGTGCTCTTTGACTCTTCAATCCAGTAGCACCTCGTCCTCTTGATAAAATTTAAGGTCTATAGAATGGAAGCCCTAGGCTTATATTTATAGGGTCTCGGATGCGGTTATTTGGATGAGAATGGAAGATTTGGCCTTATCTTCAGTCAATAAAAGCCTACCCACGTGTAGAGATGATATCAAGTCAGTTGGGAACCTCTGGAACAGATAAATCCTATGAAAACAGCTTTAAAAACTATCAAAACGTATTTGAAGCTCGGGATTGCGCGACAGACAACGGCGACCGACGCGAGTCACCTCTTGGTGACCAACGTGTGTGTGGGTCACCAAGTGGCGACCCGCGCCCCTACGCGGGTTTCAAGGCTTTCTCTTTACTTTGGCTGTCTTGTTGACTTGTACGCTTTACTAACTTGCTTCATACGCTTGTTATCTTTTTTACGGTACTTGCAGCCGACCGACAAGCGCGATGGCCCCTTGGAGCTGACCGACAAGCGCGACAGCCATTTAGATGATCCTTCTTGAATTAGATTATGACGATCATCGTCTTCTCTTCGTCTCGAGCTGCGTACAGGAACCTATTGATATTTTTAGATGCCTACACTATTGAAATTGGCGGGTTTTGCATATTTTTCCGTCAAACTAATAACGAGAAAACTATTATTTCCTCGCTATTTAGTTTTTTTAACGAGGAAACAAATCCTCATAAAACTAAAATTTTAGCGAGGAAACGTTTAATTTGTCGTCAATGAATTTGGTGGGTGTTGTAAATTTTTTCGCTAAATCAATAGTGAGGAAACTATAATTTCCTTGCTAATAGATTCTTTTTAACGAGGAAACGGTTCCTCGTAAAAACAAAAACTTTTAGCGAGGAAGACTTAAATTTGTCACCATTGAAATTGGCGGGTTTTTCCCCCGCTAAACTAATAATGAGGAAACTATTATTTCTTCGCTAATTGATTCTTTTTATGAGAAAACGGTTCCTCGTAAATTATGGATCTTCAGCGAGGAAAACATACTTTGTCGCTGTTACATTTGGTGAGTTTTCCTTTATTTTCTGCCAAAAGAACAGCGGTGAACTGATTATTCCTCGTTAAATGTGCATTTGATGATGAAAAAGTTCATCACCAAAATCTCATATTTTCTTGCCAATAAAATAACTAGTTAGGAGACTAAATCATGATCATCTTTAGTGAGGAACTAAAATTTTCATCGTAGAAGGTGATCTACTGTGAGAAAAATATATTCCTTGTAGAAGACCTACTGATATTTACCGAGGAAACAATAATTTTCTCGTCAAAAGTGATATTTGTTGAGGAAAATAATTTCTCACAAAAAAATTAGTCGCTAAAAGACTTGTCTGTTGTAGTGATACCTGAAACGCTTTCCAAATTTCTTCAATATTCTATTTCAAAATCAATCCAAATTAGCTTTCTCAAGAGAAAAAGCCCCCAATTGAAATCCACCAGTCACCGAAAAGGAGCAATACTAAGAGATATGTTCTTAAATTTCTATTTATTTATATTATCTTCATAAGTTTTTCTGTGTCTTTATAATGCTACATATGAACCCTATATATAGGATTAGACTAGTCTTAGAGATTTTAATTTCAAACAATTCATAATTGTTTAAAACTCTATCCATAACAATTAAAGATAGAATAGAATTATTTAAAAACTTTATCCATAACAATTAAGGATATAAATAGAATTGTATTGTATGTATACATCTTCTAACGATATTAGAGAGACCAATTGGGTTCCATATCAAGAACCAATCATTAATCAAATTAATAATTTTAATTTAATAATCAAATCCTTATCCGACCAACTGTTCATAAAAGCTATTCCATAATATGTGATTAATTATTTATAAATAATATTTTACTTGCAGTCCTCTCTAGTATCATTTATTTTAGTCAATTCTTTTGAGCAGGACAATTCACATATTTACTCATGCCTAAATTGCAATTCCCATGAACACAAATAAAAATCATTTTGAAATATCAAAATATTTTATTTCTCTAAGAAAATAAATTTAAAAAAAATTCAAATCACATGCCTGCAATAATTTAATAATTTTATTTGCATAATAACTTAGCTCATCATAATGAGAATACTAAATCCTATCTAGATATCCATCATTTCCCTAAATAAAATTTAGCAACCCAATATTTTAGGTTGTATAGCGCTTGCTAAACAAGCTTAACCATCACATCGAAGTATACTAAATTATCAAATAGAAAATGATATCATTGTCAAGTCAAAGAGCGACGATGTAACAATTTAAATTCTCTATCTCTTAGGTGACTCATCCTTGATAACTCAAATGCGGTCTAGTGCTACACACATCATAATGTGCGCATATGACATAACACTTGGGGAATCTAAATTCCCGATGGTTGAGACCCACCACCACATCTCACATGTATATATGTGTCATGCATAATAACATATTATAACTAGGTTATCATTTGCTAGCTATAGGTTAAGCACAAATTTAAGAAATCTCTGAGTTAGATCATATCTCCAAGCATGTGACCATCACAGTGCATGATCTAAGAAAATAATTTCTAAGGATATATAACAATTATAAAATGATACCCAAATTATATATGCAACAATTATTACTATTCCAGCATAATCTTCACCATAACTTAGGAGTTTGATACCGATCTCATCTACTCATAAACAAATTTATTGGAGTGTAGTTAACTCGTAGAATCAGAGAATTGGGCACGACATCATTGTTCCTGTTACAGTACGTGCACATGGATTCTTGTTCCTCTCTTCCCAAAGATACCCAAAGACAGTGATATCTATTAAGTTGGCGGGAGATATTGTAAGTGTGTGGTGTTTAATTATTGTGAAAATTAATTAAAAGATCTTCAATATCAGCAATTTTATATACAGCAAGTATTAAAACTTGCATGAGAATCGAAGATCAAACCCCAATAACATGCATGGAAGTTAACATACAGACTCATGAAAGAGTTGTGATCAAACACTGGAGAAATTAGCATGTAATACGGCGTTCCTCCAGAATATTAACATACAATGTGCATGGTGTTCTTCTGTAGTAGTTTAAAATTATGAGCCTACGTTCCCCCAGTGAGATATCCGGGATTTTGTCTGAGTATTGCGCGCCCTAACGTACTCATCGTCTATTTTATGTACAAGATCCCATTATCTAGAGTGACTGCTTGTCAACTGGGACTTAATTTGTTATCCGGTGGTGCATCTGCGACTTACATGGACATGATTTGGATCCACAAGTGATCATAAAAATACCATAATTTTGAAATTTTAATATATTACCGTACAAACTTTAACAAAATATCATAGCAAAATTTTGATAAAGTGATCATAAAAATATTTTTGCATTAAATAAAAAAGATCTTGATTAATAAGGAAATTTTTTTTATGGACATCCGTAATATCCTATAATAAATTGTAACTCTCTATTACACCCCACCCCACCCCCACCCCACCCCACCCCCACACTTTTCTGGTATAGTCCACATGGGAGTGGATATGTATGTATGACAAGGAAAGGGAGAAGAAAGAAAAACTCCACATGGGTCTCAGACTCTCGACACCCTAACAATATCCGGGGCTTCATTGTGATAGAGGAAGTACAACTAATGATTTTAACGAGTCATGCTCAAACATTCTTTAAAACTAGGACCTACTTGACCATTTCCAATAATTCCAATGTCGAGAACATACCCTTCATTTCAATAATTTAGAGATCAATGAAATGAAACTAACCCAACAGTATTAATGAACATGAAAATTTACAAAATTATATTATTATGGATATGATGCATTACCATAAACGACGTCAATTTAAAACCTCTCTCTCTCTCTCTCTCTAAAATATCTATCACCTTCCAGGGTCATCCGTTTTTATCGACACCAGCGGGACACAACAAACCTCATCTCCTTCTTTCTCTTCATGGTAATCCTCATCGTCATCATAATTTTTTATTTTTTCTTCGTTGATATCAATGTCCAACTCCTCACCCTCAGCGCACGTTAGCAACTGCGCCCGTCTAGCCTGGGCATCCCAGTCGGTGGTCCCAACAACATACATCATGAGCCCAGCACAACAAATCTGGGCTGCAAGAAGCCCCGTCCAAAGCCCACAAAACCCTGCGTCGAGCCCAAATGAGAGCCCCACCGCGATGGGCACCCCACCAAGTAAAACGCGCCTAAATTTATATGGGCTGCGCATGGGTTGGCCGGGCGGCTGCCCCCGCAGAAAACTCCGCCACCGACTGTCTGGCGGCAATTTCCGAGCTCGCAAAGGCCCAGTATCGGCAGAGCTGCCGCCGTAAGCTTCAGGATATCTGGATCATTTTGTGAACATCCGGGCCCATCTGTCGCTTCATCCGCAGAGGCGAAGCCCATTGCAACAAAGCCGCGTGAGCGCGCGAGAACGCTACCGCCACCGCCCGCGGAGGTCCGGGCCCTTCGCGGCCTGCCCGCCTCCAGCTCATTCCCCACACGCGCCGAAACCCCGAAACCAAGGAGGAGGGGAACACGTAGATCAAAGCGGTTGTCTGAATCAAAACGCCCCATGGACGCGACCGCTTGGCTTCGGGTCGGGCAGCAACCCGCAAGGATGATATCAGCTCGTACGCACCACACTCGAGGCACACGACACGCAGCTGGGCCCCGCGAGCCTCACACAAGTCGGGCCGCGCAGCACCGTCAAGCACTGCTACATCGTAGGCCTCTGCCGTATCAGGCCAACCGCTCTGGCGCAACAAAAACAGAAGACAGGACAGGAGCAAGAAATTCGAACCCGCAGAGGCCGCTGCTACCCCGGCGGCTCCAAAGTCAAACCCAAACCAGAAGCCCGAGACGAGGACGTAATTCAGAGGGAGATGCAGAGCCGCAGCGATCGCCGCAGCTGTGGTCAGCGGAGTCATAGTCCCCTGAGAACGGAGATAAATCCGAAGGGGGTGAATGAAGGAAAAGGACAGTAGGTCAGGGATTGAATAAATCAAATAAGTCTGCGACAGCATCACAATCTCTCGATCTTGGCCCAGAAAGAGTAGAATCTTCGACATGTTGAGCCAAACTAAGCAAATGGGTATCGATGACGAGAGCAAGAAGAGGATCGCTCGACGAAGAGTTAAAGAAAGGAGCTTGGTTTGGTTAGCTCCGAAGGCTTGAGAACAGAGAGGCTCCATTAGAGGCCACTGAGGACAGAGTAGCCAGTGATGTTGGCGAAGGCAATGGCGAGGGAGCCCGCTGCGAGAGGGAGATGCGAGCCGAGGAAGAGCATGGAGATTATGGATCGAGAGTAGAAGAGGAGAGCAGTCACTGCAATGGGTAAAGCTAACAGGAACAGAGACTGAGCTTCTTGCCTCAGGGTTTGGTTCGATTGTTGATTCTGTTCGTTTTCCGTCGGGAAAACTTTGAGGGTGATGTAGAGGTGAGGATTTGGGGTGATGGGTTTCTTGTTTGGGTTGCACATGATTTTTGTGGTTTTTTGTCCCCCTTCTCTCTCGATGGAGTGGTGGTTTCTTTTCTCTCTCTCTTTTTTTTTAAGGAGAAACGAGGGAGAGAGGATTTGAGAGGATTTATAGAGGAGGGAGAGGCAACTTTCCCCCTTCTCTCTCGATGGAGTGGTGGTTTCTTTTCTCTCTCTCTTTTTTTTTAAGGAGAAACGAGGGAGAGAGGATTTGAGAGGATTTATAGAGGAGGGAGAGGCAACTTNTGGTCCTTGGGTTATAAAGATTGCTTCTTGAGAAGAAAAGATCCATGGAATTATTATTGAGTAATATAATTTTTTATAGATAT